TAAAATGAATGTGCGCGGCGCGAAGGCGAGAGCCACATTTTCAAAACGAGCTGCCTTCAATCCGCGAAACTCTTGCATTTTGAAAAGGAACCGCCCTCAATCCGTGAAGCACTGGCAAACAAATTCAAACGAATGTGCGCGGCGCTAAGGCGAGAGCCACATTTTGAAAACGACCCGTCAATCCGTGAAGCTCTCACAACTGACTAAAACGAATTTGCGCGGCGCTAACGCGAGAGCCACATTTTGAAAGCGACCCGCCCTACATCTGTGAAACTGGTGTCACTTTTTAAGCTTCAGGGTCACAAGTGGTGAGGAAGTCTGAGGCGAAACGCCTGGTCCGCCCTAAACATTTGCTTCGGGTTGCGACAGGGAGGAGCTATCTGTAAGGAGAAGGAATGGAGGAGGAGGAGGAGGATGAGGAGGAGGAGGAGGAGGAGGAGGAGAAGGAGGAGGAGGAGGAGGAGGAGGAGGAGGAGGAGCAGGAGCAGCAGCAGGAGGAGGAGGAGGAGGAGGAGGAGGAGGAGGAGGAGGAGGAGAAGGAGGAGGAGGAGTTCCCAAGGAGTTCCCCCCCAGCCGCAGTGGCTGTCTGTCCCGCGGCGGCCGCCCCGCGCGGACCGCGCACGGGCCACGGCTCGGGTGGGCCGCGGCCCGGGGGGCCGCCTACCTCTCCGCGCGCGTCTTGCGGAGGCGTGTGGAGCCACGGGGCCGAGCGCGCCCTCTGTGAAGGTCGCGGTCCACCCCCGAGATCCTCAGACCAGCGGCTGCTGCACGAGGGGGTTGACAATGCCCTCCAGCTCCTTCCGCTTGCTCTCGAACCCGTCCTGCTCGGCGAGTTGGTTCTTGGCGAGCCAGTCGAGGGCGTCCTGGACTGCCTTCTCGACTTTCTCCTCTGCGCCGTCCTCGAACTTCGCTTTGAACCTCTGCTCCCTCAGCGTGTGGCGCATGGCGAAGCAGTAGTTCTCGAGGCTGTTCTTGGACTCTCGCGTCTTTCTCGTACGCCCTGCTCCCAGCTCTGTAGCTGTGATGTCGGGCGCAGTCTTCGCCTCCCACTTCTCGCACTTCTCGCTGTGCATCTGGCCTCCTCGAGGATCTCCCCGAGGCGCCCCGCGAGAGGCGACATCTCCTCGTTGTAGCTGACGGCGTCGGGCTTCGGCTTCGCCTCCTCCTCCTGCTTGCGCTGCCCCTTGCTCGGGCCTATCCACTTGCGGGAGATCTCGGCGCGCCCCCGCCACATCGCCGCGCTTGTGCAGCTCGATCCAGCCGAGGCGACGAGGAGCGACGGGGAATGACCAACGATATTGGGCTCCAGCTTCGCCTGCGCGACAGGTGCGGCCACTGCTCACCCTTCTCGCTCACGCGCCTCTCGCCGTTTCCCACATGCCTCATGCTCTGAGCTGTAGCTGGTGATGTTGGGCTCCAGCTTTGCCTCCGCTACAGTTGCAGCCGCTGATCGCCCTTCTCGCGCCTCTCGCCGCATCTCACATGCCCCGATCTCTGAACTGTAGCTGATCGCGTCTGGCTCTATCTTCGCCTCGCCAGCTTTCTCGCTATCCGTTTTCTCTGATCCAGCCGTGGCGGCGAGGACCGACTGGGAATGGTTAGCGATGGTGGGCTCCAGCTTCGCCTCTTCTACAGTGGCAGTCGCTGCTTGCCCTTCTCGCACGCACGCCTTTCGCCCCTTCTTGCAGACCACGGCAATGCTGTTGCTGCTAGTGTCGGCCTCCCGTGCCTTCTCCCTCTGCACGCACGCCAACAGTGCTGACCAGGGCCAGCTCCACTGCAACGGGGAATGACCAGCGATATTGGGCTCCAGCTTCGCCTCGACAGGTGCAGCCACTGCTCGCCCTTCTCGCACGCGCACCTCTCGCCGTTTCTCACATGCCCTATACTCTGAGCTGTAGCTGGTCACGTTTGGCTCCATCTTCGCCTCGCCAGCTTTCCCGCTAACTACCTTCGCAGCTCCAGCCGTGGCGACGAGGCTCGACGGGGAGTGTCCAGTGATGTTGGGCTCCAGCTTTGCCTCCGCTACAGTTGCAGCCGCTGATCGCCCTTCTTCTCGCACGCGCGCCTCTCGCCGCATCTCACATGCCCCGATCTCTGAGCTGTAGCTGGTCGCGTCTGGCTCTATCTTCGCCTCGCCAGCTTTCTCGCGATCCTTTTTCTCAGATCCAGCCGTGGCGGCGAGGAGCGACGGGAAATGGTTAGCGATGGTGGGCTCCAGCTTCGCCTCTTCTACAGTGGCAGTCGCTGCTAGCCCTTCTCGCACGCACGCCTCTCGCCCCTTCTCGCACATCACGGCAGGCTGCCACGGCTCCTCCGCGTAGATATTTGTCCACGGGGAGCTCCACCAGTCCGGTTGCTGAAGGCAGGCCCAGTCCAACGCCGCTTGCCGGCACGTGGTTAGCCTAAGCCTGCGCGTCGCTCGCTTCTGACCCTTGCTTGCCGACGCCCTGGGGGGCCTCTCCACGCCTGGGGGCCCATTCCACAGCTCGGTTAGCATCCGTCCTGCGATCACGGCGCCTCGCCCGTCGGGGCTGGGGGCTTCCGTCCTCGCGGGCCCATGCGCGCGCCGCGCCCGCCGCGGGCAAGACGGCTGCGCGAGGCCGCGCTGGGGAGCCACCTAGGAGGAGGAGGAGGAGGAGGAGGAGGAGGAGGAGGAGGAGGAGGAGGAGGAGGAGGAGGAGGAGGAGGAGGAGGCGGAGGCGGAGGCGGAGGCGGAGGCGGAGGAGGAGGAGGAGGAGGAGGAGGAGGAGGAGGCGAAGAGGAAGCGGAGGAGGAGGAGGAGGAGGAGGAGGAGGAGGGGAGGAGGAGGAGGGGAGGAGGAGGAGGAGGAGGGGAGGCTCAGAAGCGAGAGGGGCTCCTCTTCCGGACACGCCCTCCGAGCCAGACGGAGGCGGCGCTCCCGGCGCTTCGTCGGCCTCGCGGCCGCGCGAGGGCCTGTCACACCATGCAGCGCCTCCTCGGGTGGTGTCGCGGGCTCTGGAGGCCCGCCGAGGGGCAACGACGTTGACGACCTGGACCCTGGGCCCTGGAGCCTCCTCGCATGTTCCTTCTGGGGCCGCCCCTCGGGCCCACCCGGCGGACCTGTTTGACCCCAGCTCGGCTCCGGCTCGACTCCGGCTCGGCTCCGGCTCGGCTCCGGCTCGACCCGGGCTCGGCTCAGGCTCGGCTCAGGCTCGGCCCAGGTCGGCGGAGGTTCGACGCCCCGCACCGGCACAGGAGGGGAGCGGGTGGCTCCGGGGAGGTCCCCAGAGCGAGCACCCGATCTTTCGATCCTCGATTTCTTTTTTCGTGCCCGCCGCGCGGAGGAGGAGGAGGCCGCGGACGTGGGCAACATGACGGTGCGAGGAGCGAGGCCCAACGGGCCCCCTGGCCTGGCGTTCGCCCCAGATCAGCAAGTCGTCGTCGTCGTCGTCTTCGTCGTCGTCGTCTTCGCCGTCGTCGTCGTGGTCGTCGTCGTGGTCGTCGTCGTCGTCGTCGTCGTCGTCGTCGTCGTAGTCGTCGTCGTCGTCGTCGTCGTCGTCGTCGTCGTCGTCGTCGTCGTCGTCCGTTGTCGCTGTCGTCACCAGACTAGTTCCGTCGCCGTCGTCAGCGCCTTCGTCGGCGCCTTCGTCGTCGCCGTTGTCGGCGCCTTCGTCGTCGCTGGCGTCGTTGCGCTTTTACTGGCGACTAAGTCAGACTGAAGAGAGTTGCTCGTACAGCTTGGATAGCCAATGCAAACGCAACGACGACGGCGACGACGGCGGCGAATAACGACGAACGACAACGACATTCCGACCCACCGATCGCCGACGAACGCCGACGAAGGACAACGACGACCGACGACGACGACGAGCGACGACGACGACGACCGACGACGACGACGACGACGACGACGACGACGACCGACGACGACGACGACGACGACGACGACGACGACGACGACGACGACGACGACGACGACGACGACGACGACGACCGACGACGACGACCGACGATGACGACGACGACCGACGACGACGACGAACTACGTCTGACCGACCGACCGACCGACGACGACGACGGCTGACGTCGACGCGCGCCAGCGACGACGGCGCCGCGGAGTGTTTTAAATAGCCCTCCTTGGGGCGCCAAAGGGGCTTCATTGGGGGTGCATTCTGGTAAATACCGGGGGCTCGGGGGAAACTTCTCCATCCTGTGGCCCAAGGTGACCACAGGGAGAGGAGGGAAGAGCATTGGCGGATGTGTCAGGCCGTCATCCCCTCATACACGCCGATGGGGTCGGCGCATTTTCGTGCCGGGGCCCCCCTCTGGTAGATCGATCCCGACAAGGGCCTCAGAAACCGCAGGTCCCATAGACCTCCGACGGCTCGATATCTACGAGTCGGGGCCCGTGGAACTCTCGACGCAGCCGTCGTCGTCGACGGCGAAGAGGACGACGACGACGCCCCAGGACCGGCTTTTTTCAGCTTGAGTCGCTTTTCGGGGCTCCAGAGGCGGGGGCCACTGCAAGCGGGGATCCGTCAGAGCGCTGAATCTCGCAGGATCCTGCAGCGCCAGGGGTGCAGTGACCTGGGCCTTCCTGCAGGATCCTGCAGGATCCTGCAGGATCTTGCCAGGCCTGACTGGCCCGGGGGTGGCTTGGCCCGGGCCAGTGGATCCCCGAGCTCGTTTGGGGCCGCACAGATGCCGAGGACCCGCGGACCCGATCTCCCCAGGCTTCCCCGGAGGTCTGGGGACACAGCTCGGTGGGCCGCCCCCCGCGACGGCGGCAGTTTTGCCCCTCCGTGGGTCCTCCTCCTCCCTCCTCCTCGTCCTCCTCCTCCTCCTCCTTCTCCTCCCTCCTCTCCTCCTCCTCCTCCTCTCCTCCTCCTCTCTCCTCCTCCTCCTTTTCTTCCTCCTCCTCCCTCCTCCTCCTCCTCCTTTTTCCTCCTCCTCCTCCCCCTCCTCCTCCTCCTCCTCCTCCTCCTCCTCCATTCCTCCTCCTCCTCCTCCTCCTCCATTCCTTCTCCTTCTACATA